AATTTTTAAGCCTTGTACAGGTTATAATAGTACTATTAGATCTTTTTTTCTCTTTTTGTTTTTTCTTTTTGAAATCGTATTTTTTTTTCTTTTGTTTGTTTTATTTTTTTTATTTTTTTTGTCATGTTCATTAAAGAACTTTTTATTCCTCCCTTTTTTATCTCGTGCTCCTTGAGAGAAAGAAGAATTAGGAGAGAAATTAGTCCTAATATTTTAGTTCTTTAAGAGCTAGCACTTAATCTAAATCATCCATAAATCAGTGCGATAGTCACAGCTAGGTGCCAATAGATAACCATGTGAGGTCAAGCTTTTAGTTACAGCTATGTTGTTTTCAACTACAATTGTTTTTCGAGATTTATTTGTAAACTGTACACAAGTCTTGGCAAGATCATCAAAAAATAAAAAAAAAAAGTCATGTTAGAATTCTTGATAAAACTAATATTATATTTAAATACAAATCACTAAATAATAGTAAAGTTTTCTATAAGCAAAGGTTCAATAAGTTAAATAAAAAATAAATTAAGTAAAAATTTATTAAGTTATATAAAAAAATAATTTAAGTAAAGGTTTAAATAAATTATATAAAAAAATAATTTGGGCAAAGATTTAATAAGTAATTTAAATGAAAGTTTAGTAAATAATTTAAGTGAAAGTAAGTTATATAAAAAAAATAATTTAAGTAAAGGTTTAATAAATAATTTAAGTAAAGGTTTAGCAAGTAATTTGAGTGAGAGTTTAATAAATTATATAAAAAACTAATTTAAATAAAGGTTTAATAAGTAATGTGAACAAAGGTTTAGTAAGTAATTTGAATGAAGTTTAAGTAATTTAAGCAAAGTTTAAGTAATTTGAGCAAAGTTTTAATAATTAAGTAAATGTTCAGTATTGTTATTAATAAAATCAGAATTGTCTGAATTGTTATATAATTATTCAGAGCACAATCTTGTACATATTTTTAGTATGCTATATATATATAAAACAGAACTGTCGATGTTATACTTTACTCAGTATGCAATATATAAAAAAACTATTTTACAATACCAGATTATTTTACTAGTACATGTTATAATTATAACCAACACTATTTTTATTATAATAAAATGGTATTGGATTATAATTATAACATGTATTAGCAGAATGATCTGGTATTGTAAAATAGTTTTTTTATATATTATATACTGATATTTTACAATAGAATTTTGTGCCCTGCCTAGCACACATCAAAAAATTGCTAAATTAAATAATTTATTAAAATCAGGCTTATATCAGATAGTTTTGATTGTTTCCTTATTACATGTTAAATTGCACCAACAATTAATATAAATCAGGACTAATTATTTTATAATTTTTTACAAATCAGGTTACTGCATAAATTTGCATCAATCAGAGCTATAGCAAATTTGTAATTTAACAACAATCTGATATATATTAGTTTAAAATAAGACATATGCCTAATTTTTTTTACTTTAACTAGTGTAATACAAGCCAAAATTATTATAATATAGCCAAAATTAACATAGTATAGCTTATTTTTGAAGCACTTATTTTTTGAACTACACTACAAAAATTACAATTTTATATTATTTGTAATTTTATATAAATTATAATATATTAAATTTTGTATAATTTAATAGCATTATTAGTAGTATAAAACTTGGCTAGCATTATTTAATAGTATTAATATTCTTAATTTAATTTAGCTTAGATACTTAATATATTTGTTTAACTTTAATAAAATGAAAAATTTTGCAAATATAAATAATTTTTTTGCAACTTATTATTTTTTATAAAAAGTTTAAGCTATTAACTAAAGAAAAAATAAAAAAATTTAAAATAAGAGGAGTATTACTTATTATATAATTATAGCCCCTCTCAGACTCAGGTATTTGGAACCTTCTAAAAACCCCTAAAAACTTAAAAAAATTTTTACGGGTTAACATTTTTATAGTAACAGCCTATTTGGCGCAGCAATCTATGTCAACAGTTTTTCGGGTTAATAGATTTTATAGTAACGGCTGAGTGGTGCAACAACATTTGGTTAATAGTTTTTTTTCTGCAGAATTATGATATTATAATGGCCTTATATAGTGCAGTAATTAACAGTCTTTAATAGTCACGAGATATGTTATAATGACCTATTTGGTGCAGTAATTAATAGTTTTAACAATTATTTTCTCATAAAATATAACGGTTTGGTTGCATATCATAATGAAATAAAACAAGAGTCTCTATTTAACTCTCTAAAATCTAGTTATACTTGTTTATTATAAACTCTACCCTAAATTTAACTTCAATCCTAATCTAAAAATGCACTTCAAAATTTTTATTTTTATTTTTTACAATATTTTATTCTTTTAATCTGTCACAATTAATAGTAAGATTAAATAGTAGTCTAGAAACATAGTAGGGCGATTACGGCTTAGCTAAAGCCCAATTACCTACCTGTTTTCAACCAGAATAGAGTTATTTCTTTAATGTAAATTGTAGATCTTAGTTTATAAACCAGCCAAGATCAACATTACTATTAATAACATTACTAATATGTAATAGTTTCTTAGTCTACAGCGTTCATATTAAAACTGGATTCAAGAGTAATGAAATTTTGGATTTATTGATATAATATAGATGGTTGATAATAGAGTAATAATGCTAGCAATAAATTGTTGAAAGTTGCTAATAAAATTGTAAAACTTTGGCAGTTAAAAAGATATCAAAATTTAATAGTTGACCATTTTTAATTATAACAAATATATAGATCTTGAAGTCTTTGAATCATATGCATTTTACTATCAATAGCAATAGGAAGACTAAATTAAAATAAGACTTTAATAGATGTATACTACTTAGTCAATTTGATAAGAAATCTTAGATAGGATATAATAGTAAGATGATAAAAGTTTTTTTAAGTTCTGCTATGATTCTTTACTAAAATTAATCTTTATTTCAAAATATTTATATCAGAAATTTATTAAATAAATAATTCTTTATCTAATAAAAATTACAAGTTTTCTCTTTGCAGCACTCAAATAATGAATGAAAAATTTTATTTAGTTTTTTGCTTTTTTGTCAATGTTTTAGTTTTTTTTGGTCTTCCAGGTCCATGTTTAGCTGGGCAAATTTCTTCTGCTATTGTTTTTATGCCTAATTTAGTTTTTTTTGGTCTTCCAGATTCAAGTTTAGCCAGGCGGACTTTTGTCATTGTTTCATCTTTTTTTGGCCACCCAGATTCAGATCCATGGGCTTCTTTTAAATGTTGGTTTTTTTTTATAATTAGCAACTATTGAGATTGTCAGAAAATATTTTCCACAAATAGGACAGGTGTGATTTTTATAATTATCAGCCATGGAGGGCAATGTTGGTCGTACACTGGTATTTTTTTCTTGTCAAGATACTCTAATAGATGTATCGAATTAACATAGTGGCCATCTTTCCCTATTACAAGAGGGAGAAGAAAACCATTATTTGATGCAAGAAGGTTAGCAGCCTCCTCACATCTTTTAGGGAAGCAACATTTAATATTATTACATTTCTTTATATCTAAAGAGTATTTGCAAATCTTTATATAAATCTCTATCTATTCTCAAGATATAATATCTAAAACAGGGATACTTATCATATTGATATATTCTGTCATGACTGGCTTTTTGAATATTTTGTTCCACTTCCACAGATCGCAGAGAAGGTTGCCTGCATATTTAAAAATTTTTTTTACTAGCTCCAGGTCAACGACTTTATCCTGTGAGTCAAGATAGATGCCATATTTGTCAACAGGCAGGACTATACCTGCTAGCTTTGTTGAAAGGGATGCCATACTTCTCTTAACAGGGTTGTATGATGAGTGACCTAGAGTAATAATAGAATAAACTAATATTTAGTTGGCTAGTTATTTAATATTTATTTTATTAATTGGTTAAATTTTTTAATTGATCAATATTACAATTTCAACCAACTAATAATTTTGGTATATTTGATTAGCTAATTAAATAATTTTAGCAATTCTAAATCACTAACCCAGAGCATGAGTTCTAATAGTCAAATAATCGAGATTAAAAGAGTGAAAGATGTTACAATAGTTGGGGATATTTTTCAGATAATGAGGATTTTTATCTAGGCTCCCATCTACAAGAAGGACCCAGATGAGTTTGATTTTATTATCAACCTTTAACATATTGTTGAAACTGCCATTATTTGTTAAAGAATATAGATTATTCATATGGGTCATTGAGCTTGTTTCTACCTCTTGTAGACAGATATATATTAACAATTGGTCTCTACAAAGTGTATCATTTGTGTCACTTGGATCGATGACTAAATAAACAGACAGAATAAGTTTCTGTTGTGAACCAACAGGTCCAGAATAGTAACTAGCTCATTGTTACTTTGTAGGGCTTTAAAACTTTTTCTGACTGCAGGAATGACAAGAGAAACCTTGGCTTTATTGTCTTGTAATAAAATTACTGAAAAGGTTAAAAATAGGGCTGCAAATTGTCTTGCTACCTTTACAGAGGCAAAACAATAATGAATATCCTGATAATCTGCCCTTTCACTTCTTGAAACAGTTGCAACCTGAACCTGCATTTTAACAGGTAGAAATGAAAAAATATATTTCTAAAAAGTTTATGATTTAAAATTTTATAAGACCATACAAATTTAATTACTTGGTTTTCATAACATAAAAATTTTAAATAGACATGGCTGGCTGGCCTTTTTTTTAAATTTCATATATAAAATTTTATAAAATTTAAATTTTAAAACCCACCTGGTTATTAAAATATATAAAAAATTTTCAAATTTTGACTCAGCCAAGTTATGAAAACTAATTTATTAATTTTGTATGGCCTAATTATTTAATTTATATAATTTTTAAACTATATAAAAGTAGAGTATAAAATTTATAGGCATGGGCATACAATCCAAAAAAGAATAATGAATATAAATATATATTACTAACCTGAATATTAGTTGGGTAATGATGATTTTTTGCTTCTATTGAGCTTGAATGATGTAGTAGTAAATAATTGTTTATAGTAGTTTAGAAGAAATATTTATTATATTTTGTCTCTAATTCTTCTTTTAAATAATTTATTGTTCAGATATTAATAACTTCTTTTTTTCTTTTGCTATTAGCAGCCCTGAACTCTATGCTCTCATGAATGTGTTCTAGTAAGTCTGGGTCTTTGTGCAAAAGAAATAGATGCCCAGGTGAGTTATACTTCACAACTTGCTAATGATTCTTTAAATCCTAGTCTTTTTTTCTCTATATTTGCGTTGGCGATCAGTATTATTTTTCAGGCTTTGGATTTTCATTTCTTGATCACAAAGAACTTGTTTAAAATCTTGTATTTGATCCATTAGCTCATATTTGGTCTCAGGATTAGTTGTCAAATTATAATCCTCTTGATACTTTACAATTTCTT